TTCACATATGAATACACGACCAGTGTAACTCCACATCATGTACAACTGAGATAGGGAAGTTATACTCCATGTATGTATGATATATCAAACTACATATCATATATAAATACATTCGTATATAACAAAAAAGAACAAATAGAAAAAAGATATACTGGCTTGGAGAAGAATAGAATCTGAGGTGGTGCTGGGGTTTGGGACATGCTACCCCAAAGTCGGGTGGCTTGGCTTGCTGAGTACTTTGAACTGAAGGGGACTGAAAGGGCTGCAGACAGAAGGTCTCTTTTGTCTTCTCCTGCCCTACTTTCTCCTTCTGCCTACCCCATCCCCTGCAGCAGGTCATACAAACTAGAATTTCTCTTTTCTGGGAAGGTCAAAGGAACTAGAACTCCTTCCCATAAAGCAAGTCATGAAATTTAGCAATGTCACCCTCTGACTTCTCTCATCTTCCCTGAAGACCTTTCTGTGACAGGTAACCTGACCTACACCCAGAGGAAGGAATGCCTCACAGAGGCTGAGAAGAATTTGAGCAGACAGATCTTGTTGGGTTCCTCTCTCAGTTTATTATCATGGGAACTTGGCATTTTGTCCAATTAACATTTCTACACAGCTGTTCATTCTTCAGACCTCGGCATAAAATACAGTTTTCCCTGGGTGTTTGGGTTTTTGTTTCTAATGGTTCTTATGTCACATAAAAAATGGATTAAATAAATTTGTTTTTTTTTGTATTAATCTGTTTTTTTGTAATAGAGATGTTAGCCATGAATTTTGAAATAGTTGGAGGAAAGTTATTATGCCTTTTTTTATCCTTTTGTTTTCACTGCTGTGACTAAAGGACCTGACCATAACAACTGTAGAGGAGCAATAATTTATTTGATAGCTCATAGTTTCAGAGGTCTTAGTCCATTGAAGACTGACTCTGTTCCTCGGGGCTCAAGGTGAGGCAGAACACTATAGTGAAAGAGTGTGGCAGAAGGGAGTAGCTTACATGATGATCAGGAAGCAGAGAGAGAGAGAAAGACTCTACTCCCCAGATACAAAATATATACCCCTTAGCCAGCCCCACCTGCCTCTAATCACCATTCAGTTAGTCCCATCAGAGATTAATTCACTGATTAGGTGACAGCTATACACAATCATTTCTCCTCTGAACCTTCTTGCATTGTCTCACACATGAGCTTTTGGGTGACACCTCGCATCCAAACCATAACAGTACTTATCATGGTATGGTTCCATTGCTTAAAGTATAAACTTAGAAGCCACACGTTCGGTTCAGAACCTAATTCAACCAATTATGATCTGCATAAATTGGCTAGGGTTGCTGTAATAAAATGCTGTACCTTCAACAATAGACATGTCCTTCTCATAGTTCTGGAGAATGGGCATTCCAAGATCAAGGCGGTAGCCTACTGGGGAGGTCCTTCTTCTGACTTGCAGATGATTGCCTTCTTGCCATGTCCTTCCTTGACAAAGAAGCAAATCACTTCTTTTTCTTCTTATTAAGTCACAAATAGCATCTTGTAATCCAATGACCTTCTGTGATCAGATATCTGCCAGCTTGACTGGGCACAGGATGCTCTGATATCTGATTAAATGTTATTTCAGGGGTATCTGTAAGGATGATACAGGAAGAGATTAGCATTTGAATAAAACAGATGACCCACTTCAGGAGAGATTGAAATAGAACAAAAAGCAGCCCCTTTGTCTCTGCACGTTTGACCTGGAATATTATCAATCTTCTCTTATCTTTAGCACTCCTGGTTCTTAGGCCATCAGATTCTATACCACCAGCTACACTACCATCTTTTCCTGGGTCTCCAGGCTGTGACTGCAGATAATAGAGCTTCTCTAACTCCATAATGATGTGAGCCAAATTTTATAACATCTGTCTGTCAATCTATCTATCTATCTATCTATCTATCTATCTATCTATCCATCCATCCATCCATCCATCCATCATCTGTCTCTTCTATTGGTTCCATTTTTCTGGAGAATTCTGACTAATATATCTTTCAAAGGTCCCATTCCCATATACCATCACACCAGAGATTAGGGCTCAACCAAATTAATTTTGAGGGGAACACAATTCAGTTAATAGCTATAGAAAATTGTTCAAGTCATTCCAGTTCATCATGCTTCATTTTCTTCATTGATAAAAGAAGAATCATCGTAGAATTTACCTCATAGGAAGATAAATTGATCAATGAGTCAATGATCCTAAAGTTCTTTTAAATAGAGCCCAGGAACACTGTAAATGCTGCTTGAACATTTTTAAAATAAATAAGGTGCACACTAGACAAATGAAAGAACATGGAAAAAAATTCTGAGGAGAGAATGGCTTAAACATTTATGAGTACAGAAAGGAATCTGATACAAAGGGAACAATGAGTCAGAGAGGAGAGATGTTTGGATGGAGTGGAAAAGGTGGCCAGGGGTTAAACCAAGTCAGATCTAGAAGATACTGGTAAGAAAGTGTGGGTTTTGTTCTAAATGAGGTGGTAATCCTTTTTATTTTAAATTCAAGTTCAAGTTTTTAAAGAACTTGACTGATGTTTAAAAAAAATTAACTTGGAAATTCTGTAGAGAATGTAAAGGAGAAAACCAGGAAGTATAGATACTGATTAAGAGGGTATCCCTGGTCCTGGCAAGGATAATTATGTAGCTAGAACAGGGCAGTGATGACAATCTGGAGAAAAATTCATAGTCACGTATTATATATTGGAGGTGAAGGTGATAGAATTTATCAATGGATTGGATGGAAGAAGAGGGAGATATCAGAATCAGGAACACCACCCAGATTTCTGACTTAAGCTCTTGGCTATTTAAAGAAGTGTCAGATACTCAGTTGAAGAACACTGGAAGGGGGAATAGATTTGGTGTGTGTGTGTGTGTGTGTGTGTGTGTGTGTGTAGATTAAAACTTCACTTTTAGACCTGTGAAATTTGTGTCACACACACACACACAAACATCATAGTGAAATGGTGACTAGTTAACTGATCATCTTAACTGTACTAGTTTGGAGGTAAGCTGTAAGCCAGAAGTAAGTCTGGGAAATTAACTATGCTTAGATGGTACTTAAGATTGATTTTTGGATAAAATCACCTAAAAAGGGCATGACAGAAAACTGTGAAATGAAAGAAAATAAAAATATTTTTTAAAAAGTTGGGTTATCTTTGGAAGCTCTAAGCCCCTTTGTTTTTACTTTCTTTCTTTTAATTATAAAACATTTAAGCATAACAAAATTTTGAGCTCAGTTACGTGGTACAGGGAACAGTCCTATACCTAGAATCTGGACTCAACAATTGAAATTTTTGCCATGTTTTTCATCTACTTACCTCTGTCTCTATTTATAGTGATTTTGATAGTGATTATTGATAGTGATTTTTTTGATAATGATTATTGATTTTGATAGTGATATACTGATAGTGATTTTATTTACACATATTTCTCCAAACTATTTCAAAGTTTCAGGTATTATGAAATTTTATCCCTAACTCATTTATCAGGTACCTCCTGAAATTAAAACATTATTTTATATAACTGAAAGATCTTATCACATTTAAGAAAATTGATAATAATTCACTAACATGATATGCTATTAATTTCCATTCAAATTTACTCAACATTGTAAACATCTTCTGTATATCTCAGGTTGACAGCATTTAAAAAATGGCCCTCATCTTCTGTCTGAGCAGGAGCTATGAGGATGGAGAGGTCAGGATCTTGGTAGGAAGGAAGGCAGGGAGATCTGGTATCAGCAAATCAGAAAGAGAAGTGATTTTGAGAATGCTAACTCTGTAAATACTAATGACTTTCTGCAGATAGTCTTCATCTTAGAAAAATCGGGTCTAGGTTTATTTGTAAGAAGTTGTGTCTCTTACTGATATCCTTTTAAACTAATGATTTATGATAAACAAGGGATATTCATATCTCAATTGATTTGGTAAATAACCAAAATGAGGGGATCTAAAATCCAACATTATTTGCTGAAGGACCATAAATTGACCTTTGCCTCTTGCATTATATCATTCCATTCTGTAGGCATTTAGTGCTTTCTTTGGCAACCAACCCAATTTCTGAGATTCCTCTCCTCTTTAAATTTTTCACTCCCTTCATGTTCCATTAAATATGCCATTAATTTAATGTTATTTATAATCTCAGTTCTTTACTCCTCTCAGCAGTTAGAATGACCATATAATTTATCTCTCAAACCAGAAAATTTTGTAAAAGAACTACATGTATAAACTGAACTATTATGGGCTGATCCATTTCACTGTCACTTTATCTATGAATAAATTGCCTATCCCTTTCTCTTCTCTTCCCCCATTACCTTCTTTATAAGGAATGGATGCATATCACTTTATGAAGAATAAAAACACACAGATCTTTCAGGAGCTCCTAGAGTAAAATGCATATTACCACCACCTTTTAAAATTTTAAGAACTTTTAAGTGATCTATTTTCTTTTTCTTTTTAAAATTTTATTTATTATTTAAAATAATAATAATAATAATAATAATAATAATAATAATTATTATTATTATTATTATTATTATTGCAGTATGGGGATTGAACCCAGGGTGCTCTGCCAGTAAGTCACATCCTCAGACCTTTTTATTTTTAGACAGCATCTCACTTAGTTACTTAGGGTTTTGCTTAAGTTGCTGAGACTGCCTTTGAACTTGCAATCCTCCTACCTTGGCCTCCTGAGTCATCGGGATGACACTGTTGTGCTCATTTAGATGATTTCTTGCTATGTCCTTCTTTTACCAATATTTCTGAGTTCCAAGGTTTTCTTCCCTTGTAAATTTCTATTTATTACATCACTTGTAGAATTTTAAAATAATTATTTTACTTTGAATAATGTACAAGTAGAGACTAAACCTCTGACTAAAACTATGTAAATTAACGTATACATGAACTATATGGAATAACTGTTGCACTGTTTCACCTAACTGACGGATTGTGTCCGTGAAATACAAAGAGCTGGCTATCTTCTAGTAAAAAGGGGAGTCAGTTTAGTGGAAGCCCAACTGTCAAACATTTTGAAGAAGCCTCATATGGTAAGCTAACAATAATCATTTGTTGAAAGAACAAATAAATGAATGAGTCAAGTCACAGTGTTTTGGTTTTGGTTTGTTTTAGGCTCCACTCTCCCCTTTTCTACACTTGATCTTAGCCAAAAGGCCGAGAAGCGATTCCACTCTCCCTTTTTCTTAAAACAGAAATTTGGAAGGGAAAAGTTGAACACACAGATTTATTTTTTTTCTTCAACCTTTTTGCTATGATTACTGTTACGGTTTGGATCTGGAATCATCCCCCAAAGCTCATGTGTTGAAGGCTTGGTCTCCACTGCAGCTGTATTTGATGGTGGGAATTTGGGGAAGTGGTTGGATCAGGAGGGCTTTAACCTCATCAGTGGATTGCTCAATTTGGTGGATTAAAAATTTGAATGGATTATTGGGAAGTGGTACCTAATTGGAGGAAGAAGGTCACTGGGACATATCCTTGGGGACTTTATCTTGTCCCTATCTCCCTCTCTCTCTGCTTCACAGCTGCCATAAGCTGAGCAGCTTTCCTCTCCCTGCCCCAGTGCCATAATATTCTACCTCATCTCAGGTTCAGAGCCAACCACATCCAAACTTCCCAAACCATGAGTCAAAATAAACTTTCCCTCCTTTAAGTTGTCATGTCAGGTATTTTGATCACAGTGATGGAAAGCTAACTAACACAATTACTATTTGTATTGGAATCAAAATCAGTATATGGTGTTTATTGAGAATGTCAAAAACAGTGTATTTTCGGGTTTTCCCTAAAAAAAAAAATCATATTACAAATGGTTACACGATTATATTTGCTTTTGAGACATGTTTTTAGTAAGTCAATATGGATTGTTTTAAAGAAAAATTGTCATTGATGAGATTTCTGAACTTATTTATTGAAAATGACCTTGAAGAACTTAAGCCTTCGAAGTTATGTATTGACCTCAGCATATACTGCCATAGTTTCCTGTGTTTTCTCCTAAATTCCTGGGATTGGCAAGTGAAATGCTGAATAACCCAGAGTCCCTTGCTATTAGGGCTCTGGATGTGATTTAGAATCCACCAATAAAATACGTTCGTATGAGATTTAGGAAAGGCAGAGACTATCTTCATGCTGCTGTGGTGGCCCCAGCAAGTCAGATGGATGTGTTTACTCTAGCTCAGCTCCACACCCAGTGGCACATTACCAGCTTGTGGCTTTATAAGTACTAGAAACTCCATCAGTTTTCCCCTCCTTTGTTTCCAGCCAAGGTGGTATAATCTCAAAGCTTGGTACAGTGGTGGCTCCTTGGCTCGTCTGCTCTTTCCCACAATTTTGTAGGCACATAATTCCCATGTTATATCTTTTTTTTGGATTGAGATACCTAGAGAGCTTTTCACTTCCTATATTGAATCGTGACTGACATAACTTTATATTATTTGATTTTTGTCTACAACAAGATTTATTGAAACAGGTCTCTGAGTATTTAAGTTGGTTACAAGGTTTATAAGTTTTAGTTTATGCATTTATGAACTATGTTGTGAGAACCATTTCTTGTTGCTATATATTTATCTCATATTTGTCCTTTGAGATACATTTGTCAATGAAAAAATGTGTACAGCTTAAGATATAGGTAGATGTGATCTTACTAAGAATGCTTTTTAGCTTTATAAAATGACCATTTATCGCCACAATTTTCTACTCCATATTTTTAAAATTAAACACAGCACATTGTTTTTCTTAGCTCAAAGGTCAGACATTTTATCTGATTATTTCAGTAGAATTATCAGCCAATGACATCTCTATTTTTCCATAAATATTGATTTCTCTAATTTCCTTCTCTCTAAATATATCTCAAATCTAATAACTTTTAAAATAGACTTTCTATTAATACTATAATTGCATTTTGATGATATTAAGATATATTTGGAAGCCATAACTAATTCTCTGTCTGTTGAATGCTTTATTTAATAGATAAAATTCTTTCAGTGCTCACAAAAAAGAAATATTTATAAAGTGTACTCCCAAAATATACTACAAGTGATTACATTTTTGTTTTTGAAAATTTGTAGGACTGAGGGAGATTCAGACTACATCTCCACATTTTCAAATATCTGGATATAAAACAGTGATTTTTTATTTAGTAGATTTTTGAAAGTAATTGCCAATCTAATCTGGGAAGAATCTGTAATATCCACCAATTTACCATATAATTCTGCATTGAACATAGTTTGTGATTTCCCATGGTGTATTCCAAAGAACAGAAATTTTAAAGAGTATTAGTGTCCTAAAGAGCCATAAATAAATACCCGTGGTTAAATAAGCTTAGGCTAAATAGAACTAACTGGGCATCTTTGCTTAAGGAAGTCTGTGAAATTTTAACACACTTCTGTGCTCTATGTTGCGCCAAAAAAAGTTCACAGTTGTTTTCAGTTATTTGACCTCAAAGAATCCTTTTTTCATGGGACAATTTTGTGGACTTACCATTATAAAAGACATGTTTTTTTAAAATTTTTTATTGTTGGCTGTTCAAAACATTACATAGTTCTTGATATATCATATTTCACACTTTGATTCAAGTGGGTTATGAGCTCCCATTTTTACCCCATATACATATTGCAGAATCACATCAGTTACACATCCATTGATTTACATATTGCCATACTAGTGTCTGTTGTGTTCTGCTGCCTTTCCTATCCTCTACTATCCCCCCTCCCCTCCCCTCCCCTCTTCTCTCTCTGCCCCCTCTACTGACATTCATTTGTCCCCCTTGTATTATTTTTCCCTTTCCCCTCACTTCCTCTTGTATGTACTTTTGTATAACTCTGAGGGTCTCCTTCCATTTCCATGCAATTTCCCTTCTCTCTCCCTTTCCCTCCCACCTCTCATCCCTGTTTAATGTTAATCTTCTTCTCATGCTCTTCGACCCTACTCTGTTCTTACTTGCTCTCATTATATCAAAGAAGACATTTGGTATTTGTTTTTTAGGGATTGGCTAGCTTCACTAAGCATAATCTGCTCTGGTGCCATCCATTTCCCTGCAAATTCCATGATTTTGTCATTTTTTATTGCTGCGTAATACTCCATGGTGTATAAATGCCACATTTTTTTATCCATTCATCTATTGAAGGGCATCTGGGTTGGTTCCACAGTCTAGCAATTGTGAATTGTGCTGCTATGAACATCGATGTGGCAGTATCCCTGTAGTACGCTCTTTTAAGGTCTTCAGGGAATAGTCCGAGAAGGACAATAGCTGGGTCAAATGGTGGTTCCATTCCCAGCTTTCCAAGAAATCTCCATATGCTTTCCAAATTGGCCTCACCAGTTTGCAGTCCCACCAGCAATGTACAAGAGTACCCTTTTCCCCACATCCTCGCCAGCACTTGTTGTTGTTTGACTTCATAATGGCTGCCAATCTTACTGGAGTGAGATGGTATCTTAGGGTGGTTTTGATTTGCATTTCTCTGACTGCTAGAGATGGTGAGCATTTTTTCATGTACTTGTTGATTGATTGTATGTCCTCCTCTGAGAAGTGTCTGTTCAGGTCCTTGGCCCATTTGTTGATTGGGTTGTTTAAAAGACATGTTTTTGAACAGGCATATAGACCAAAACATTAAGATGGAAAGAATGACATTTGCATTGATTTTTAGTTTTTATGTTTTGTAAACTAATAAGGAAGAGATGTTTTTGGTCTCATTTGAAGTCTTAAAGATCAGAAGTGAGCACTCATACACACTCCTCACTGACAGGGATGACGACCCACTTCCCTAAGCCTCACTAAGATTCTAAATCTAACTTTCAGCAATGTGTTGCTGCCTTCATTTCTTGGTAGAGTCAATAGTGGGGATGAAACCAATCTCACACAATATTGGGGATTGTTATTGATACAGCAGAGCCCTCCTTACTGAGCTAGTAATGAGGAGGATAGAATAAAAGGGTTTTGTGGCATGAAGACTCCCCAAAATGAACTCTAAATTTATTGTCTCAGTGTAGGCAGGGCTGTTGAGTGAGCTAAAATGTACAGTGGAGTCTCTTTCATCATGTACTTTCATGAGCCCTAATGTTTAGTAGGAAATTCTAAATACATTTTCTACTAATTTGGGGCCATTTTTCTTAACCATCGAGTCCTAGTCCATCACATCACTCAGTTACTTAATTGATTACAAAGTATCTTGGTAAATAGATCTTATCACCTGAAGGATATTGTCTTCTGGAATGGGAAACCCAAAAAAGAGCAATAAGAATATGGGAGTGGGGGAATGAAAAACAAATTCTACTTCAAACATATGAAGAGATGCACCATTAACATACCAAGATGGAGACACTGAATGGGCAGTTGGACTCTGGAGTTTAAAGTTGTGGCAAAATTCTGTACTGAACATAGACATTTGGGAGTCATCAGCACAAAAGTGGTGTTGAAAGCATGGAATGGATGAAATTATCTATTATTTAGTGTAAATAAGAAAGGAAAGGGACTCAAAGACTGATCCCCAAGGGCACATTGGTATTTAGGGAAGAGGAGAAGGATAGGGCAAAAAGAGGCAGAGACAGGTGGCCAAGGTCTTGAAGGATAAAACCAAGAGTGTGGTTCATTCTGAAAACCATCAATGAGGTAAACATCATGGAATACTTCAGAGTCAAGTTAAGAAAAATGAAAAATAAGAGCCGCCTGCAGGATTTACAATGTTAAAGTCTTTGGAGAAATTGAGAAAGGCAGTTTCCATAAAAGGGGTGCCTTGGCTGCATATTACTTGTGATGGACAATATCTTATTGATTGCTTTTCAATGGAAATAATGGATTCAGGCACAGATTGGCTCCTTATTTCATTAGTTGCCCTTGGACCAAAGTCACCATTTAGTCCATATAAACATTTTGTTCCAGATTTGATGATTCCATTTAAATGGGCTATAGATAAAATCAGATTATTTTTGTGGTTACATTTTTTTCCCCTTCATTCGTTTGATTTAAATTTAATTCACGTACTCAGAGGATATGCTGGGTACATGATGAAAAGCTGTGAAGTAAACACTGGAAATGAAACCCCAAGACTGAATTTTTTTTCTAACTATTTTCTCATTTTAATGAGGCCTTTTCCTTGGTACCGAGTCACCATTTCTTCATAGAGTACTTCCCAGTTAGCATCGTGGTAACAAAGGAAACTTGATTTTATACTCTC